CAGGAGTTGGAGGTTGCTGTGAGCAGTGAAGCCATGGCACTCTACCCAGGGGGACAGCTTGAGGCTCTGTCTCAAAAAAAAAAAAAAAAAAAGAGAATGCGCAGGCTGAAGCGCAAAAGGAGAAAGATGAGGCAGAGGTCCAAATAAACCAGCTGGTTGTGCACTCGTGAAGGCCACAAGAGAAGGAACATGGGATGCCAGAGGCTAAGAGGCTAGTACAAGCTGCTGGACTGCATGCTACTGTCTGGAGTTTGCTCTCAGTGGATAGAAGACCTCATCGCCATCCAATCACCAAGACCACCCCTAAGAGACCCACCTTGCTCACACCAAAACAGTCCCTTGCCCTGGACCTGACATCCTGGACTCGTTCTGTTTATCACTTGTGGCTGAGTGTAACCAGTATACAATAAATCATACCTTCTGCTGTTTTGGCTGATGAAGCAAAAAAAAAAAAAAAGAATAAATATAGTTTCTGTGATCAATTTGGTAATATATTTTTCTAGAGACAGGGTCTCACTCTATCACTTAGGCTGGAGTGCAGGGGTACGATCCTAGCTCACTGCAACCTCAAATGCCGCGGCTCAAGGAATTCTCTGCTGCAACTTCTCGAGTAGCTAGGAATATAGGCACAGGCCACCATGCCTGGCTAGTTCTTTTTCAATTAAAAAAATTTTTTTGTAGTGATGCTGGTCTCCCTATATTGCCCAGACTGGTCTTAAACTCCTGGCCTCTGCTAAGAAAGAGAAAAGTTCCTGGAAAATTTTCAAAATGCTTCTTACTAAAAACGAACAAAAAACCTTTGAGCATTTTAGAAATTAAGCAAGCAGTATAGAATACTGGTTAAAAGTACAGAATAGAGGGGCTCGGCGCCTATAGCTCAACCGGCTAAGGCGCCAGCCACATACACCTAAGGTGGCGGGTTCGAATCCCCAGCCCGGACAACATGAGGTGTAATGCCACAGCACTCTACCCAGGGGGACAGCTTGAGGCTCTGTCTCAAAAAAAAAAAAAAAAGTACAGAATAGTGGCTAGAAGTACAGAATTTGGAATTGAACAACATAAGTTCAAATCATTATTTCCCTATTTCCTTGGGTAAATTATCCAACTTCTCCAATCCAACCATTTTCTTCCTTATAAATACCTATACATATGGCTTTACTGAGCAGGCAGGAGGATACCTGTGATACACTTAATGTCCGATGTACAGTAAATACTAGAAAGTGGCTGCTGTTAACATTATATTATTTTTATGAATACATCTTACTTTCAGTTCTTTCTCAAGTCTATCTACTTCAGCTCCTAGAGTATCAATAATATTTTCTCCATGTTTAAGCATAAAGGTCTCCAGTTCTTCAGAAGTTTTCACTTCCTGAATTTCCTAGAAATAAAATAAAAGGAAAAACTTAAGAAAAAATCATAGTGTGTTGATAATTTCTTTAAAAAAATTTAAAACACCATTAAGTTTAATGAACAATTAAAAAAAAAAAAAACTTAAGTCATAGGTGATGGATTAGCTATTTCCAAAAAAAATCAGATCAAGAGGCTCGGCGCCTGTGGCTCAAGCGGCTAAGGCGCCAGCCACATACACCTAAGGTGGCGGGTTCGAAT